CTGTCCCCATCTGTCCCCATCTCCATGGCTCTCCTTCAGGGCTCCAGTGAGGTCAACCCTGCCAGCCCTCCTCCCCATCCCACCCACCCCAGCTGTCCCCATCTGTCCCCATCTCCATGGCTCCATAAGCGCACAGCTTAGGTGAACTGCAGCGTGTGAAGACGAAGAGCCCGTGAGGGACACGAGGGCAGTCCTGTCACCGATGCTGCTCACTGCACCGTGGCAGCAGAGGCCAGTGAGGTCTGCCTTTTGATACAATCGTCTGCCTTCTGTTCTGGGGTTGAACCCAGGGGCACTCTAGCCCTGAGCCATGTCCCAGCCCGTTTGTCTTTTATTTGGAGACAGGGCCTCGCGAGTTGCTGAGGCTGAGCTCCCCAGCTGCTGGAGGATGGGTGTGTGCCACCAGGCCCGGCTAGATGTACCTTCTGAAGCTTGAGGACTGCTGATCTTTTTTTACCAATGAAATCACTAATTACATTTTGATTTATGTAATTTATGTAATTTGGGCTGGGGCTGGGGCTCTGCAGTAGAGCACTTGCCTTACATGTATGAGGCACTGGGTTCAATCCTCAGCATCACATAGAAATAAATAAATAAAATAAAGGTATTTTGTTCACCTACCAACTAAAAACATTAAACAAAACAAGACAAAACCCCTGTCCTGTTGCTTTTTCTCAGTGAGAGCACAGAGAGCCACATTCAGAGGGAGAACCTGCTGTGGGATGGCTGGTGAAGCACCTCACTTTGCCCCAGCAGAGTGGCACGGCTCTGCAGGGCGGCCACAGACTCCCTCTGAGTTGGCCTGTGGCTCTGACCAGCTCTCTGTGGTCCTGCCCACCTGGCTCTGGTGAGGTCTCTTACTACAACAACAATAAAGACATCAAGGGCTTCCTATTGCCTAGGAACTGCTAAAATATGGGTAGACATTTGGTTGCAGTGGCAAACAGTTCAGGCCCGAGTTCAGGTCTGAGCTTCTCCTGCTGCCCCAAAAAGACACAGTGTAGAAGACCAGGGTACAATGTAAACAGGCAGGGAAATGAACACAACTCCAGACGAACAAATGCAACCGGTCAACAAACACATGAAGGAATGTCCACCATCACTACAGTTAGAGAAATGCAAATTAAAACGACAGTGAGACTTCATCTCACTTCAGTCAGAATGGCAATTGTCAAATATAAGGAACAATAAATGCTGGTGAGGCTGTGGGGGAAAGGCACACCCTTACACTGCTGGTGGGACTGCAATTAGTGTAACCACTGTGCAGAGCAGTGTGAAGATTCCTCAGAAAACTTGGAATGGGACCACCATTTGACCCAGCTATCCCACTCCTGGGCAGATGATACCCAAGACTTAAAATCAGCACACTACAGTGACCCAACCACATCAGTGTTTATAGCGGCTCAATTCACGATAGCTAGACTATGGAACCAACCTAGGTGCCCTTCAACAGACATATGGATAAAGAAAATGTGGTGTGGATACACAGTGGAATACTACTCAGCATTAAATAAAAATGAAATCATGGCATTTGCCAGTAAATGGATGGAACTGGAGACTATCATGCTAAGTGAAATAAGCCAACCCCAAAAACCAAAAGCTGACTGCTCTGTCTGATGTTCAGATGCTAACACACAATAAGGGGTGGGGCAGGGAAGTATTTGGGATCAGACAACAGGGAACAAGGGAAGGGAGGGGTTGGGAATGGGAAAGGGAGTAGAATGAACAGGACATCACTCTCCTCCTGTGCTCACGTGACACACAACCAGGGAAACGCCACAACATGGACGGCCCCAAGAACGGGAAGTGACAGCGCCCCATGTGTATAATATGTCGAAGTACAGTATATTGTCATGTACAACTAAAAATAATTTCTGAAAAAGTTTAAAAGGCCAGGAACAGTGGCCTAGTGTTGCCCAGGAGTGCAGCCCAGTGCTCCCCGACAGACCCCCGCAGCCCAGGCCTCCCCAATTGCAGCCCTCTTCCCGCAGTGCTGGGGGCTCCCCTGCCGGGGAGATGAGAACGGAGCCAGGTGACAGTGCGCCAGGCCCCAGGGAGGGCCCGCGCCCACGGCACTTACCCGTACCAGTAGCGGGGGTCACTGGAAATGCACTGGTTCAGGCTCCGGTGGGCCAGCGCCTTCTTCTTATTGAGCACGAACTCCTGCAGCTTCATTTTGACCTCGGTGCTGGCCACGGCACCTGGCAAGGGAGAGCAGAGGTGAGGCGCCCGGGGAGAGGCCTGGGCGGGGAGCTGCGGGAGGGCTCCTTCCAGCACACGCTGCTCTCCGCTGGACGCAGGCTCAGCGGTGGGAAGCGCTGGCTGCTGGTGGCACAGCAGCCACTCTGCAGGGCACTTGAACACCCGAGAGACCAGGTCTGCGCGAGCAGGGCAGGGGAGGCAGGCGAGGCTCTGTGCGAGCACGAGGGCCCCACTCGGCTTCACAGGAAGGCCGCAGACACACAGCGGCGGGGCCTCCCGTGTCCAAGGGTGGCTCTGCCCTCTCCGCCTGGGGCCACTTGGAGAGCAAACTGGGCCAGGTGGCCGAGGTGGAAACTGTGCTTTGGGCTTGTTTTGTGGCATGGTGATGGCTCTTCAAAGACACTGAAGAAAACAGCCACCAGGGTTCTGCACACGGCCCTCGGCAGCTGCCCTGCTCCTGAGGAGTGCCCTGAGGATGTCCCTTGGTATTGCGTGGCACTCAGAGCACTTCTAATGGCCCAAAACACTTCACGGGGCCAGCAGAGTGAGCCTCTGTGTGGAACTGCTTCCTGGTGGGAGCCTCAGCTGCCGTCAGAAGCTGTGCTAATGCATACCCACTGGCGGGCCAGGCTGCCGCGTTCTGAGTGACCTGCACAGACCTCACACAGCTCGGCCATCTCTCTAAGCGCTTTCCAAAATGTGCCTGTCCACCAAGCACCAGGGGTGCAGACACCCTGCTTCCCAGACTCGGGCCACCCCCTGGTGACATGGAGGGGCTAGGCTGGCATCTCTGATGTCCTTGGGGACCCTGGGACTGGGCTGCTCTCTTGTCTTGGGGTGTGCCCTGCTCATTGTGCCTCAGGAGCCTCCCACAGTCAGGTGGGGGGCCGCACGGGGTCTGTGTGCACACGTTCTGTTCACCGAGTTGTGGGGCTTCCTTTGACAGTGGACGTATGGAGAGCTGCTGTGTGCTGGCCCAACATGGTGACCCCACGGGGAAGCTGTGCAGGTATTCCTAGCCTACACCCAGCCACATGGAGGGAGGCACGGGGGCCACGGTCCTCTCGGAGAGGTGGAGACTGGCCTCCGCTGTGGACTGTCCAAGAGGAGGCACAGAGGTCTGCCTCGTGCGGCCCCAGGAAACTCAGGGGTTCTGAGGCTCCCGTGCCGGTCTGCGCAGTCCGCTCTAGACTGCCCTTTGGAATTTCTCCGTGTCCTTGAAGATTTATGACTGGTCTTCCTTTTAAAAGTTTGAAAAACAAAAAAATTTTAGGGCTGGGTGGTATAGCTCAGAGGCAGAAAAAAAAAAAAAGAAAGTTTGATTGAAAAAATCATTTTTAGCTTATTCTTACTGCTCTGGTGCTAGGTTTTATTCAATTATTTGCTATACTACTGTTTTAGTCAGCTTTTTTGCTGCTATGACTACAGGATCTGACCAGAACAACTGTAGAGGAGGTGCATTTAGGGGCTCACAGCTTCAGAGGTCTCAGTCCATAAGAGGCTGGCTTCACTCCTCAGGGCTCAAGGTGAGGCAGGACACCATGGCAGAAGACTGTGGCACAGGGAAGCGGCTCACATGATGCTCAGGAATAGAGAGGTCTCCACTTACCAGCTAAGTCTCATCCCCACCTCCTCCAGCCACACCCACCACTCAGTCACCACCCAGGGACTCCCTCTGAGGGGGTTAATTCACCGACTGGGTTAAGGATCTCACCACCCGGTCGTTTCTCCTCCGAACCTTGCTGCACTGTCTCACACGAGAGCTCTTGGGGGACACCTCACCTCCACACCATAACACTGCTTTTCCATGTTTCATGATGTGAGGTTCCATGGTGATTTTGAGAAACTGTAATCAACGGGTAACATCTTTAGAGAAATAAGTTTCCTTGCCACCTTTACCACACACCCCGGGTAACTGCCATCTGATGGCAGTGAGAGGGCATGGCCCTTCAGGTCCTTCAAAGGAAGGTGGCAGAGGTCCATTCAGGACGAGAGCAGAGCTTACAGTGGGCAGGCCAGGATGTCCCCAATGGGACTCCAGGTGTTACTGGTCTCGGTCCTGGAAAGCAGGTCCCCGGGTGGACGAGGGCCCTGCAGCTCAGGCYGCTCCCTGGCAGGCGCCCTCAGGAGCCCCAGCAGAGCAAGCAGACCTGTCTGCTGGTCTATAGTTCAGGCAGAGTTCTCAGACTGTGACCCACCACCCGGTTTGCCTATCCCCACATGTACTCACCCACCCAGAGCTCTCCTCTTAAAGGAAAGTTCTAGAAAGAAAAAAATCACTAAAAGGACAGCAAATTTTTAAAATTTCCCCTTTTAAAAAAATTAACTCCTATTTATTATCCTTCACCCACTTGATCCACTGGCACCTCTGTGAGGTTCCACACAGTCCCAGCCACCAGGGACCAGGATGGGAGTGTAAGAGACACACCCCAGGCATGTGGGTCTGTGTCCACGTTCCCCCGGGCGGGAGCAGGCCAGGAGGGTGGAGGCCACTGGGCTGCAGTCTGAGAGCCGGTCCCCGTGATGAGTCCCTACTGTCCTCTGGCCTGCGGGAGGTGGGCCTCCACGTTGGGACAGAGCTGCCTCCAGGACCAGGGCTCTGACCTCAAGCTCTGGCTTTCTGCACCTTCTTTACTTACTTTTAGCTTTTAACCTACTTATTTTGCAGAGCGGGACCCAAACCCAGGGCCTCTCTGCCATGGTGCAGCCGCTCGGCAGTTTCCAGAGCACACTTCTACCCAGAGGGAGGGGCAGGAGTTGTGCTCAGGGCGGACAGGGCCTCTCTGGGTGCCAAGTAGAGTTGACTGAAATAAAAGCCTGACTGATTAAAGAGCGCGTTCCTGATACAGGTCATGAAGACTGCCGGCAACTCTTCAGGATTCAGTGTTTAGTTCCATGCACAGCGCTGCGTGGTGTGAGGAGCCGAGAGCAAACTGCAGCAGGGCCTACGATGGTAGTACGTGAATGTCTGCAAATGTCACTGAACTTTTTACTAAACATTTGATCAGAAGTTCATTTAAAACAAAACCCCAAGACACTAAAAAACAGGTGCATGGCACTATGCATTTGAATACTTAAGCACCGGATGCACCTTTGTGTAGTCTCCATCTGCCTCACAAACGGGGGCTGGAAGCTGTGACCACAGGACTCCCTCAGAGGCCAGGTGCCCTGGGCCACCGACTCCGGCACCCTAGAGGCTGTTTGCCACTGGTCTCGCCAGCCCTGCCACGCTCAGAGCTGCCAAGTGCCCACTGTACACAGCTGGGCACGGACAGGAAACCTGACCACCCAGAGCCAGAGCAGGAAGCCCCGCCTGTGCCTGCTCAGCTGAGAGCAGTCAGGCCACGGCCCAGCCGGGACATTGCTCTGGACGCGTCAGCAGACCCCAAATGCTTTCTGGAGTCTTTTTATATTCCGTGAGCCCACTGATCATATTTTTATGGAAAGATTCTGGTAAACTATGAGAAAGTAATTTATTGAGTTGCGTTTCAGCAATCAGGAAGAGGGTTATTTGTTGGTTAGTTGTGGTTCAGATTGATGAGCTGATGTCTGATGTTTGGACCTAAATCCTGACAAACAGCCACTATATTCCTCACGGCCGAGGAACAGCAAGCAGCAGGGACACTGGGGCACGAGGAGCCCTGGGGTGGGTGGGTGGGTGGAAGGAGTGGGCCAGGCAGGGTGGTGGCCGCGTCAGCCCTGCACCCAGCACGGTCTGTGCAGGAGGCGCACCCTGGAAGCCCCAGGGCAGGCTGCTGAGGACCACGTAATGCTGCCCAATTAGTAGTACAAATTAGACCACATCCTGACTCCACCTGAGAATTAGCTTTGTGTAATAGCAATCTCTACATTAAAAATAAACTTAAGAACTGAATTTGCTTGATAGTTATTTAATTCCTTTTCAAGCATAAGGGCTTTTTTTTTTTTTAAAGTCCCCTTTGAAAATGCTTCAAGTGTAATGAGGATTGATTAAAGGCCAAATCTCAATCCTGCCACCTAAAAACCACGTGGAGGCCGATCCCCAGGGTATCTTCCCTCCAGACAAAACAAAGAACAGAGCGGCACAGAGAGGCTGCGTGGGGAGGCCTGGCCCAAGCACACCCTCTCCCAAACCCCAACTGCGAGCCACCGTGCCGCAGGGAGTCCCAGTGAACACCCAGGAGGCCTGGGCACCACTCCAAGCTCCTTCTGAGACAGGGAGGGCGTGGCAGGCAGGCCCAGGTGCAGAGGGAGCCGTGGGCGCCGCCCCAGGCACCTCTTCTCTAGGGCACCTACAGATGGGAGGGAGGAGAGGCAGACAGGGCAGGGCCACAGAACTGGAAGGCACCGAGGAGGAGGAAAAGCTCTGGTGGGACCACCAAGTGGGCATCCTGCAGGTCAGGTGGTCAGACATAAACCCAACTCTGACTCAGCTCCCAGACAATTAAGATGGAGCCTCACCTCTGCTCGACCACAGGGCCCATTGTGAAGGGCTGTGCTGCTGCCCCAGGTCCCACAGCGCCCCAGAGCAGTTTACACGCTGTTCAACAGGCGACCTCGAACACTAGGCAGGCAGGAGACAGGAAGCACGAGAAAACCAGGAAATCGAGAGGTAGGAAAGCCGCCGAGTCGTAGCCTCGCTCTAAAATGACTGCACCACGCACAGGGGAGATGAGAAGCCCCCAGGAAACCCTGTGAACAAGCCAGGGGAAGCTCTGGAACTGGACATCAATACATGAATCAAACCCCAAGGGTCAAGGTTAACAGCAGTCACTTTGCAGGTGGGGGACAAATTAGTAAAGTGGATGACAGGTCAGAAGAATAAATCCTACCCATAGCAGGTGTGCAGGAGGGACATGCGCACAGAGAGAGTGAGAAGCCTGGAGACATGGGGAAGGACCTCACGGGGCACCCAAAGTCTCAGCTGAATGGAGGGACTGGGCACAAAGCTAAGAAAATTAGCTCTAACAACTCTCAGAAGTTTGCAGAACACAGTCATTAACAATCACAAACCCAAGCA